CTATTCTGTCTTTCACACACAGAATCTGATAACAGATTACTTTAAAATCTTTTTTTTTTTTAATTTATGAAAAAAATTGTACATTGCATTAAATAATATGGGTTTGCATTTCTTTTAATATATACATTTTTAAAACGCATTTATTTTAATAAAATGTATTTTAAATCAAGCACTCTATTCAAGCATGTTATTGTGTATTTCAATCTTTTATCAAAAATAATGTAATTTTTTCTATCCGCAATTTATCACAAAATTACGGATAAACGCGCGTTTAAATACAGACAATCTTTCTGTTAAGGAACAGATTTTTTTTTTTTTTACAGATACGTGAAAGTAAAGATAAGTGCAAATGATCAATTCAATCAATATGCATACGCGTGTATGGGGCGCTAACAGGCTTTACATCCGTCCCTACTATGTATCGTCGATGATAACGCGACGTTCCGATGACGCGGCGGTCATTTTAGATGAGATTCACATGCCGGGACCACCCACCTCATGGAATTGGCTGATTATATATACCTTAGCTTTGGAATTTTCGGCGTCTCGCTTTTACATTCGCCAGAAAAATTCGGGTAGAACCGTGCGCCGGCTGATTCGTGAAGTTCGCTTCAGAGATTACCGCGAGTTTGTGGCTCTGGGCGACTTCTCTCTTCTTCGGCCTTCCCGTCCTTTGTTTTTTTCTTTTTCATACCGCAGGGTAGATAGGTATGTTTCTGGATCTACTAATTGGTCGTAAACGAAACGATGTTCGGGCTGAGAGCCGAGTTCCCGTCGTTCCACAAAATGTTCTTTGCGGCAAGGCCTCGCAATGATTTGTACCGATGAGTGACTTCTTTATCGAGATCTCCTTCTCTAGAAATTAATATTTAAAGTCCTATAACATATTTACATTCAAGAATATATATAATTCATAATTATATCCTATAATATCATAGATCTAACATAAATTAACTATGCAATTTGCGTTGATTAAACTGGAAACATACACGGAAAAAAATACTGTTGCTTCAATTAAAGTCTACGTCACGGGCTGCCAACAAACATATATAGTTCATTCAATAATATTTTTATTGGACCCAATATCTGGATTATTAAAACAACTATCCAAATATTTGGTCCAATAAAAATATCATGGAATGGAACTATGTATGTTTGTGGCAGCCCGTGACGTAGACTTTAATTGAAGCAATAGCATTTTTTTTCCGAATATGAAGAAGCAAGATGATATAGCATAGATTTAATTTTTGGTACACGTTATTTATTATAAGAATTAATAATTATCTTAATACCTGTTGAATATTTATATTACCACTCAGCTTTTTTTTATTTTACCACTTTCAATGACAAAAGAATCCTCAAAGTGCGATTCCTCGCATCGTTTGCCGCAGGGAGAAAGTTTTCAAAGCAAAGAAATCCTTTCCGCATCCGTTCCTCCGATCATTCGGCACGAAATGTTGCGCGCACGGGGTTGTTTGTATGCATGTATTTACAAAATTTTACCCCGTTACACTCGCGCACGGAACCGTTTCTTCGTCGACGGCGATACCGATGTCCGTGGTGGTGGTGGTGGTGGCAAATATATTATGTCTCTCGTAAAATTAAGTTTTTACGATCATTTTATGGTCGCGCGCGACCCGTCGATGCTTAGTACCTATAGGTGTGCATTTCTCACAGCTGCGCTAGGGGCTCGTGCCGACTCGTCACGGATCTCTTTCATCATACGCGTCGGTAGAACATTGTAACTATTTTTATGGACCGCAGATTTGGCCACTGAGCACCCTCGCAGGTGTAGTTACCTCGAATCGAATCATTTCGATGCCTGTTACGATGGAAACAAAGCCAATTTTACGCCAGAGTCCACGACGATGATTGCACTCGCTCTATATGTGTTAATATATCCTTCAAATACATAAGAAGTTGGTATCTTTCAGAAATAGAATAAGAAGCTTCGTCTCATAAAATATATATCACTGATTGGTAACACGCACAG